CGACAAATCTCTGAAGAGAACAAGGAACTGAAGAAAAATGTGGAGCTTCAGAGTTTTAACGTGAGAGATGTAGAGAGGATGAGAAGAGAGTTACAAGCTGTTGAAAGAGATGTTTCAGAAGCTGAGGTTGCTAGAMATGGTTGGGAACAGAAAGCTTGGGAACTCAATTCTCAAATTAGGAATCAGTTTCATCAGATTCAAACACTTGCCATTGATTGTAACCAAGCTTTAAGGAGACTGAAGCTCGATGTTCAGTTTGCTGTGAACGAGAGAGGGGATTTACCTGCAGAGGTGATGGGTGTGGACTATAAATCTGTGGTGAAGCCAGCTTTGTGTTCGTTATACGATGGTATTAAAGAAAGCTCGACGAAGAAGGTGGAGGAACTTACCACGTTGCAACACCAAGCTTCTGAAATGGCTTCGAAGATGGAATCGGAAAAGAGTCTTCTCGCTTCAATTCAGTCGAAGATCAATGAACTGGAAGAAAAGGTTAAGCTACTGAAGAAGGAAACTCAAGAGTTGGCTAACAAATTCGACTTGGAGGCGAAAACAATGGCAGAGAGTGTGAAAACGGAGGCTTTGAATCTGGAAGTTGTGGAGAAAGAAGCAGCCGAGTTTTTGAAAGGTTCGGAGCTTAGATTGCAAGAAGCAGTGAAGCAGAGTGAAGAAGAGGTTCAAGCTTGTGCTGCACAACTCTTTGCATTGATTGATTCGGTATCGAAACATAAAGAGTATATGGATTCAAAAATCACGGAGATGAGAACCGGTGTTGCTGATACTGCCATTGCTGTTTCAGAGATATATAAAACTAACCTCAAGAGGCACATCGGTAGCTAGGGATTTGACTGGTTCAAGAGATTGTTGCAGCGTACGTAATTAACTTTGGTGAACAATGTTATTCCTTTTTCTTTCTTTCTTATAATCGCATTAGCATTTTACATGGCATGTTAAGGCTTTTGGTCTCACATTTTAGTAAAATCCGAGTCAGATTCAAGAGTTGGAAGATTGCATTTCGGGTTGGGTCACCCAAAATGGTAACTCTACCATTGGTGAGTCGAGCTTCTCGTGTAAGGTTAATTTAAGTCATCTGTATGGGTCGATATGCATGAAATCAAAAGCGGAAAAGAAGCTTGTGAAAGCGAGTTCTATACAAATTTTAAGAAACAAGTACGAGTTGGAAGCGTATTGTCATATTGTTTGGATTAGTGAAATTTTGAACTATTCTCAACCCTGAATCTGGCTCTCGAAAGAAAGAAATATCTGACTTTTCAATAACATTAAAAGGTGAAATCACTAATTCGTCTTTGATTTAATTGAAGCTTTAAATAAACATACAACGTTACACTATAGTCGTCATTAGTCCAACCAAAATTGAATTTGAATACCTTTCTATACATTTACTTTTTGCTTATTTAAAACTTTGAGCTAATCCAATTCGTTGTAGTAACGTGTCCTAATTTGATAATGGCGTCTCCACGTAAGACAAC